GGAGGCGCGGGGCACCCAGAGCGGGTCGGAGAGCGCACGGACGCGCCGGCAGCCCCGTCAGCGTCCCCGAGCCGCCGCCCCCGGCCGGGAGCCCCCAGGCTTCGCTGTGCTCCGGGGAGTGAGACGCCACGTCCCATTATCCTGCATATTATCTCCTTGTCACGAGGACAACAAATACCTATTAATCTTCGGAGTAAACTGTTTCCTATTCTTGACTAAGCTACCTCGGTGTATGAGGGGAGGGGAGAGCCAATCGACTCGACCCCACCCCCATCTGCTCCTCTTCCTCCATCCCTTCTTACGGATCCTGGGACAGTCCAGGTCCTATCTTTCCTCCCAGCCCGAGTCGCTCCCGGCACCCCGAAATCTGGCTCACAGTATCCTCATCCTACTCTTCTATTCAGTCGCCACCCACAGAGAGTGAGAACCAGAGGCCCAGAGGGGCGTAGGAGGTAGGAGCCCAGAGGGTAGGGTTGATTTAAGTTAGGAGATCACTTCCAATACCCATCCTCAACTTGGCCCTGCATCTCACTGCTCCCTATCCCTTCTCATATGCACCCTATTCATAGTCACATAATTTGTCAATTACAGCAAAAGGCAAAACGATACAATTATGTTTACCTTGCAGTCTGTCAGTGTGTTAACTTGTCACACTTCTACAGCAAGGGGGCTCTCCGTGCATTTTAATGGCAAATTTGAATAGGGCACCACGCAGCTAGCTCCGTTCTAGCATTCACATACTCCTGCCCATAACACACTCAAGCACACACACCAGCCACATTCATACTACTCCTGACATACACAACCCTTGAACTCCCAGGCCAACCAGATAGTTCTACAAACACCACCTACAAAGCAAGTCAGTGTGTCCCAAGCCTTTGAAGAGTCTCTGCACTACATTCTCCAAGCACAAAAGCCCCCAGAGAGGGAAAAGGTTAGGGGAGAAGATGGGAAGGGGCTGCATATATGGAAAGTTTGAGGATGGGTGCTTGGGTTTTTACCTTGCGCAGGTTGCCCTGGCACCGATGTCCCCGGATACCAACCCGGGCGGGTGCCCCAGCTTCCGGTCTGCCCGTTCAACATCCTTAGTTTATCATACATGCCGTCTGCGCCCATCTGTTGCTTTTCGCTAGCCAGGTTGCGAAGAACTCTGTTTATTGATGACACCTGCAAATCAAACCAAAATCAAACCAAATGGTAGTGTCTCCTGAAGACAGGGTTGCCCTGTCTTAAGTCCCCATTTCAGCACCTCCACCCCTTAAAGAATGACCCATAATACATTAAAACCAAACCAAAAAACAAAAAAACAAAAAACAAAAACAAACAAACCCAAAAACCTCCCAGCCACCCTGGGACAGTGGGTGGATTTGCAGAGACATCGTGGAAAGAATGCCAGCCATCACTTTGAACATGGAAACTGAGTTAGTCAGATAATTGGAAGACTGGGGAGGAGGTCCTTCACTGTTGCTCAGTGTCTCTGGTGACCTAACTCACCTGGTGGCTTTATTTTGTTAAAGATCCCCCCCCCCTCCAATATTGAGACTTGGCTTAGAGCTTTCATTCACTTTATTTGTTTTATATTAGGATAGAAATGGATGTTTCACACCTGAAGGAAGGAAGGTTCAAGCAGGTGGATTTGGAGGAAGCTAGAATCTGGTTTTTATTTTCATTTTCCTTCCAAATTCAAGTGCTTTTCTCTGCCTTCTACTTCGCCTCATGCAAATTAGGTAAATAACCCCCCCACACTTGACTCCCATTTTCCAGAAGGTCAAAAAAAAAAAAAAGGTCAAGGTGCTCCTCTCAAGATCCCCAGGTACAGAGGAGACAAATGTGGAGCAGGGAGGAGAGAGAGAAAGACACTGGCAGGAGGACAGCGGGGGGGGGGGGGGGGGAAGGGAAGAGAGTAGTAGAGGAAGGAAGAGTGGTG